GTAACATTCATCCCTCCACTGGTCCTGCAAAATCAATGTGAACCCTCTGCCACAGTGACTAAGGCTATTCCCATGGGTGAATGGGGCGACAATGGCAGCACCTTCCTTACTAATGCACAGGATTCATGTCATCCCACTTTCTCCTCAATCTGCAAGTCCACCTTTGGCCACCAAAAATTGCCCCTGGCTGTTTCCTTCATTTGTGCCACAGTGCGTTATCCTTAGTGCACTTGTTCCAGCACCTTTCCTCATAATGGGGGAGGGTAACAACTCCCATTCCCCACATTAAACACCAGTCTGATATGGACAACTTCACCTCTGGACAGCTGTGGGTGTAATTTTGGACGGTTTTGTTGACAAGTCCTTCCTCTCAGGACGAACTCCAGCACTAAGCTCAATACCAGGTCATTCCAGGTAGCTTTCTTCACCTGACTTGCTGACACTAGTACCTTGTCTTCCTGCGAAAAGTACATGATTTTTTGGGTCTAGTCGGGAACATCTGTGGGTGGTAGCCTTGACAAAGTATCTGCATTGCCATGCTTGTCTGCCTGTCAGTATCTGATTTCATATGAATAGGCTGAGAGAAACATGCCCATCTCTGTAGGCGTACTGAGGCCATTGATGGATCCCCGTATACAGGCCAAAATTGAAGGTTAGCGGCTTGTGGTCAGTCAGCAACACGAAGTGCCTGCCGTAAAAGACAATGGGTGAATTTGTCAACGCCAAACACAATGCCCAATCCTTCCTTTTCCACATGGCCATGATTCTCCTCTGTCTTCGCCAGTGAATTCAATACAAGTGCAATGGGGTTTTCCTCTTCATTTGATAGGACGTGCGAAAGTACAGCGCCAACCCCATAAGGCAGAATGTCTTGCCACTCGCCACACCGACCGTATATTTAACCAAAGCTCCAATGACTCTGGGTCTTCTGCTTCTCTCGCAGATCTGGCTGACTCCCAGTCTACTCCCTGGCTCGTGACACGTACCTTCTCTCTGAATTGCCTCCTTTAGACATCCTTTTCCTGCTTTAGTTGTGCCCGGCAACTTCAGGCAATATGGCCTACTCCCTTACACCTGCAGCACTGGGCTTCTCAAGTCCAATCTGTTGATTCCTTGTGGCTATTCTTGCCACATCAGTGGCAGCCTACGGTTGGTACCACAATCTGCTGAGATCCTGCTACTTTCTGCATTGGGCATTTTCACTCATCTGTGTTGCTTCACTAGCGACCGACTTCACCAAGGTAGCAATTTCAAAAGCTGCACTGTAATCTTAGTCTCTCCTTGTTAGGAGCTTATGTTGGATCACTTTGCCACAAACCAAATGGTCCCACAAGACATCCTGGAGGAACCCTCCAAACTCGCAATGTTCCACTAACCTCTTTAAAGATGGGTTCTCCTCAATGCTGTATCCATTTATAAAATTGGAAGCATTCTGGCTTTGGTAGAATCCAACTTCCTGTTTCTTCATCAGACAGTCCCATCACTCCAAATTGGCCCAGCCTTTTGTTTTCTCGCCAGCAGGGACTTTTTCCACCACTTGAGTCCAGTAGCCATTTGCAGCCCGAGCCCCTTCAGCAAATGCTGTCCATGTTGGCCACTCCCTCACCGGCTGTGTTAGTGTACCATTCATCCTGGTGTTGCCTGAGGCTGCCTATGGCCACTTCCCTCAATATTACATTATCTATCCGTGCTATTTTCAAAGCCCAGGTGTTGTCCTTCCTCCCAACAAAAAAATTCATGGCATTTGTACATTGTCTGTGGGCCTCATTCCACTCTCATCACCAGTTGTTCTGCTTGTGGTTCACTGGAACCATAAACAGGACACAAAGTAGGTGGATTTTAAATTGAACAGGGAATTCTTTATTGTTATTCTCTCAGCTCCACAGTCAGTTTTGAGACTGCCCCCTCTAGCTCTTGCCTCCAGATCATCTGAACCACGCCCCTTAAAGGGGCAGCACACACCCAACAATGTTACTTACATAACTCTGCTCCTTAGCTGTTCCCATTAAGTATTGTAGGGCTAACACAGCTGATTACAATGCTGGGGATTTTTGGTGGACAGCTTTACCATCAAACACTCCTAGGTCATGTAATACTTGGAAAGTGTGAAGTTTCTTCAAAACAGCAATAGACATCATCCTCAACTTTAGTAAAACACCTTTAACGGCACCAACATGACTTTGTTTCATTCTCTATACTGGCCACTTTGTGACCTATCTGAAAGTGACTACCAATTGAGCAATGGTCATGGTTCAATGTAGAAAATAGTTTTACATTCTATGGAAATTTTCACTTGATGGGTGATGTTTCCAAACATCACAAGTTGACTGGTAAGAACAGCACTGCATTGACAATAGATGACTACATAGAAACAGATGCAGTCACAATCGTCATTGGTTGATATAACTTCTGTTTTAATTGGAATTTTTTAAATTCATTTACAAGATGGGAGTGTCACTGGCTAGGCCAGCATTTATTGCCCATCCCTAACTGACCAGAGGGCAATTAAGAGTCAACCACATTGCCTTGGGTCTGGAGTTATATGTAAGCCAGACCAGGTATGGATGGCAGTTTCCTCCTCTGAAGGACACTAGTGAACCAGATGGGTTTTTCCAACAATCGACAATGGACTCTTAATTCCAGATATTTATTGAATTCAAATTCCATCATCTGTCATGACAGGATTTGAACCTGGGTCCCCAGAACATTACCTGGGTCTCTGGATTAACAGTCCAGTGGTAATACCAATGGTCTTTGCCTCCCCAATCTAAATTCCACACTGCAATAATAGTTTCTTAATTTCAGGTTATCTAAAGATAATATTGTGGCAGTCAAAAGAAGGGAAAATTGTCACTAGAATGGTACCAAACTCTATTACAATACATCCTCTGTATCAGCGAAATCACAAATTTGCCTATCCATGCCAAAATATATCAACAAAAATCAACATCAGTGGGCAAAATCACAGATCTGCAATATTTTTACCATACATTTATTTTAACCTACTAGCATTTTTAAACCAGCTCAACGCTGTTAAATTTCATCATTCACGGATTTCTCAGGAACGGAATTTCCTTGCGGATATGGAGGAATAACTGTGCTCAACATAAACAGGAAGCAGTGATGCTTGATACTGAAATACTCTTTATATCAACAAATTGCTCATAATGAAATAAAATGGGTAATTCTACCATCTGTTGAAAAACAAATCCAAGCTAGAAACTGGAAAAACACATCTAAAAACAAGTTAATGCAGTGTGTCCCCGATTTCCGAATGTCCAACTTATGAATGTTTATACTTATGAATGAGATCCCGAACATGGTGTAATTTTAAATATCCAACATACGAACATTTCCTCTACTTACAAATAGCTGCTTTATAACAGAACAAAGAACGAAGAACAATACAGCACAGAACCAGGCACTTCGGCCCTTAAGCCTGCATCAGCACATTTTGCCCTTCCATTCTAAAACTGTCTTCATTTACAGGATCAGTATCACTCTATTCCCTTCCTATTCATGTATTTGTCCAGGTGCTTTTTGAATGCTGCTATGTTGTCCTGCACTGTGCTCCATCTGTACAAATCAACTGCAAGTGGACTCAGGAATGGAGCCCATCAGTAGCCTGAAGTCTGGCTGTATTGTAGTTTGCCTGATTTTTTTTGAATGCAGTACACATTCACACCTCAGCCTCAGATCTTCAAATTAAACAATCAGTTCCTTGTGTTTAACACTTTTCAGATGTACTCAGTCTAACATCTCTTGCAATGAAAATAATTCAGCCTAGATTAAGATAAATAATTTACGTCTTTCCTTCAATAAAGTTTTACAAAACATACAAGAGGTTGTTGTCAGTCTTGTCTGACCTCAGAACAAGGCAGCTTTCAACTGTCTTCAAAGATGTTGTGAATTAAAATGATGTGCGATGATGCTTTGGCTTAAGAGGTTATTTTGTCCATTTTCTTGAAGAAAGGTTGTAAGGAAAAGGCAACGAGCTGACTACTGATACCACTTGAGTAAACAGCTTGTGAGGCCTTGGGTTTTTTTCTTAAAGTTGGAACAATGAAATCAGCCTGGGTGTGGCCAGCTCTCACAGACAAGGCTTTCCAGTTTTCTCAGAAGCTATTGGGCTTTCAAAAGAGTTGGAAACTTTGGTGAATGTCTCTTGGCTGCGTTACTCTCTGAATTTTCTCTTGACAATTTTTCCTCCTGGATTGAAGGACTGTTTATTAGAATCTATATTGGAATTTTCCTTTTCTGGCAAGGGGTATGTTTATGTGATGTTACTATATTGGAACAGGTAATTAGTGACAGTTACTGTATCTGTTATTCTATTAAGTTTTCCAATAGAATTATGTTATTCTAAATTCCTCTTTCTTTAGTCGTATTTTAAACTACAGTGTTTAAATAAATTTTGTTTTGCTTAACATCGAGTAGTTTGACAAGTCGGATTGCATCTGGAACAGACACTTTAAAATAAAAAAAAAATGCCTAGGGCCCAGGCTACCTTCTTAAAATATTTTGAGGGGGCTCCAACCTGGCCCATAACAGGTGCTTGCTCATGCATCTTTATGATCAACTTCATCAGTGATTGTTGGCTAGGAGGCCTGAACAGAACAATTCAAATTGGTTTGTCTTGTATTAATATGATTTGGATTGAGTTATGTAAAATGATTAAAATGCAAACTAAATTTGACTTCTTTCAAATCTTGAAATTTGACCTATATCTTGATATAGGTCATCCTGAAATTCAATTCTCTAATGAGTTAAATATTTCAGTTATTAATAAAATAACTTTATCAAATGCAGATTTGTGAATGGCATCTTTTTAAGTGTGAAATTTCTTCTTTCTGATCTGCTATCATGCATTGTGAAGGCTGTTTAAAAAAAAGTTGTCAAAGAGAAAAGACTTAATGAACACCATTTAGTTGATATTATTTATCTACTTTATGGATTTACAATTTATGGCAAAATTATCAATTCCTTATCAAAATGTAAGAGTACATTACTGCCGATGTTGGAAAGCAGAAATGAAAATAGCAAACGCTACAAAGACTCAATAGGCTGCATGACTTCTATGGAGAGCAAAAGAGAATTAACTTTTAAAGCTTCTGAAATGTTGTTTCATTTTCTTCAAACTTAGGACATTAATTTAATAATTACTACAGAGTGACTGAATTTGTCATGTAACTAAAAATGTAAGCTCATAAGAGATATCAAATGAGTGTGTGGTACAACAGCAGGAAATTTCTACCTGATAGCAAGATTGTTAAAGCCCAGAATGGGATAGGTGTCACATCCTGAGTTTGTTACTGCAATTTTCTTTTAGTCCCTGTGCTGTGGTATAGTGTTTCCCTATACTCTTTAAATTCCACCATTTATTTTCTCTCTAATGCTAAAAGTAATATCAGATAATCCCTGAGTAATCTGAATTAAATCTCAGACAGATACAATTGATGTTTATGCTTTATATTTAATAAAATTTGCTCATCTCTTTCTAATATCTTTGGTCATGACATTTTGTGACGTCTTATAAAAATGATTTTACAGACAAAGATCACACCCAAACTTTTAATAACCCTGTCCAAAAATGTCAACTTTGCTCTGTTTTAGATTCTGTGTTTTGTATTTCCAGTCTTTTTTTTCTATTTTAATTACATTTGTGCCATGATTGAAATGCAACTTTCAGCTTGTTGAAAATATTAAGAGGGAAATCTGAAAGTATGCATATAATCAAAGAAAGGTCATTAATCAGAATGAAATATATTGCCGAGACTGAATAACAATCAGGGAACCTGCAAATAATGAAAACAACAGTACAGCAACAAGGTCAAGAGGAACTGATTCATTAGGTAGTAGTTCAGTATTGATTTAGCAAACAAATTGAACAAATGTTACATCATTCATAATTACAGGCATATTATTTTTCTGATTGTGCTTAACTCTTAATTCTTTTTAAAGAAGACTGAAATATATTTGTGATTACAGTGAATACAATCATTTTACAGTGTCCAAGTTAACAGTTCAAATGTTTATTCGACAGTCTGCCTGCCTTATATCCATCAATTTAAAATGTCACAATACATTTTCCCAGCAATTGTTAAACAAAATATGGCATCAAGATAGCATTATTAAAAAAAATAACTTTTGCTTTAGATAAAATAGTGCTGAATACAGGCATACAGAAATGCTTTACTCATAAAAATGACGTGATTTGACTCTCACGGCTGGATTGATTTTATACTCAATAAATTCTTTAATATGTATGTGTCAACTGACACTTAATACACATAAATAAAGATATCTGTCCTCTTCAGGTAAAAGGCAAGTATTCTAAGAAAATAAAGAGTTTCATCAGTGTGAAAATAATGAATTTGCACTTTCACAGATAAGAACTCATTTATTCTTGAAGGTAGCATTTTGATCTTTGGATTTGCTTGCAGTGTGAGCGGCCAGCAGAAGCTCAGAGCCAGTAAAGAGACAGGATTAAGATTTGTAGCATTTAGAACTCTCCCTCTCAGTGTTTACAACAAATTGGACCAGATGTGCATGAGTATGAACCATGCCTGGTTGCTAAAGCCTCCATATTTAAATGGATCCTGGCAAAGATCATAATGGAACCATTTTGAAATTAAAAGAACAGAGACAGGAATAAGCCTGATAAAATAGCATGGCAGAAACTTGAGAAGGTGACAGAGGTCTCAGCCTTGCCTTGGAAGACATGCTGCATCTTGTGCCGCTTGGGCACTTGACCAGCAAGTGTTGGATCCTTCTCAGGGATCAAGGATCTTGGGACAGTCAATTGGAGATCGACAGCTCCTCTGTAGTCAGCAGCACAGCAGAGAAGCAGAAGCTACTGTTGGTGCCATCTCCAACCAAGACCTTAGATCAAAGAGGGATCAAGAGATGGATGAGTGGTGCTATTGCAAGCATTGGGTTATGACAGAGGTGGGGATCATTAGTAAAGGCAGGGTACCTTCGAACAAGGTGGAGGCAGTATTGTTGTTGTAATGTCACTGGACTAGAAATTCTGAATCCCAGACTAACATTCCAGGGTCTGGATTTGTATCCCACCATGACAGATGGTGAAATTCAATAAAAATCTAGGATTAAAAGCTGGCCAAATGGTGACCAAATAATTCACATCAATTTTAATTAAAACTCTGTTTCATTTATGTCCTTTAGGGAGGGAAACTGCTGTCCTTACCTGGTCTGGTCAATATGTGACTCCGGACCCACAGCAATATGGTTGACTCTAAACTGCCTTCTGAGCAATTAGGGAGGGACAATGAATTCTGACCAAGCCAGTGATGCCCACATCCTTTGAACAAATAGATTTAAAAAGTGCAGACAGCCACAGTGGGAGGCTGCAAGCAATCATATCATGGTTTGCTTGACATACTCACTGCATGAGAAACCCCTACCTGTCCATGTGTTAATGCCCACAATGGAAGGACAAGGCCTACTTCAGAACCTCGATTGGTGATGGAATAGGAGGGCCATTCATGGGAACTTTCCACCCCAGGCTTAATTGGGTTGGAGGTGGGAATGCTGGTGTGATTGCCACTCAATTAATTGACCCTACCAGCCAACTTGTCAAGGTAGGGCTCATGTTTCTTCTCTCAATGTGAAAAGATTGTCAAGGATTTTGAGACATCTTTGGAGTTAATTCTGCAATTTATACAGCCCCACAGATAAATATGTGGATAGGAAGAAGAGGACAGCCTCTCAGACCAAATAGATGTGGTGCTAAGCCCTACAGCAAGTGTCAGGAGTATAGACCCATGATTATAATGAAGGGTTGGAAGAAATTCAGTGGCTTTACCAAGATGGGAAGGTTATAGGCATGACATCTTCAAGAGCAAACTTCTTCAATCTGACTTCCCCAAGACTGTCTTGCACAGCAGTCTTCAGACTACCACACCCTATAGATGCACACATTCCTGTCTCACAAAAAACCTCTTCATATCACCAAACAAACAACTTCGACTGACACTCAACTACATTTTACAGCCTTTTCACATCCTTGTAACACTGTCACTCTCCACACATGTCAGACCATCCTCTCCAAACATTCCCTTTCTCACACTCATCTCTTCCTCTTATTGGAGTAAACACAGTCGCAACAAACCCTGAGAGAACAAAGCCTTTCACTTCAGCAAAGAAGAACCTTTCAACTATTCAGAAATTTAATGACTTGAATATTGCTGAAGAAACGTATTTTTGAAACATTTTGTTTTATATTCATCAGGAAAAATGCAAGAATCGCAAATTCAAAATGATCACAACAATTTGTACTACAGGAGAAAAAGGTGGTGATTGGTGTCTTTTATTCAACGCTGATTTCTCCATTGTAATGCATTAGCTAATCAGACTACTTTTCACCTCTTGACAGAATTTGGGATTACATTGTCAATTGATTGGGTTTTGCCATTTGTGTTTTAAATTATAGATTCATCTATAACAAGTGCATTGAAACATGTCCTTGTTCAATGAACATACCAGTGTTTCTTAGCACACTGGAGTGTTTGATGACTTAACCCGCTTCACAGGTCAATACCCATCTCCTTTTCTGCTAAAATATTTTTCTGAATTTTGAAATTTGTTTAGTTTCCTTGGAGAAAACTAAGAAAAAGAAGTGGCATTTACTCTACTTTTTAGGTTAAGGTGAATAACTAACCCCTCAAACTGAACATGTGATCATGTAAAAATGCCACAATTTTGTTTACTTCTCTGCAACAAGTGCTTCACAGATTAAAAAAAAATATCCAAACCATTTATGAGTTAACTGAGACAAAGTTCATGATCTACTTTAAGCAGTTAATTCAAGCCCACTGAAAGTGAATACATTTCTTTATTTAGCCTTTGAAGTCCTACTTTATGAAACACGTTAATTTTCATTTCAACCTATGAGAGGGTAACAAATCTAAATTAATAATCTAAATCTAAATTTTTTTTAAAATATTGATTATTTTATTGAAACATGTTCTTACTGACTTGATGATAATGTCCAGATTTCAAATCCCTTTTTAGAACATTTCAGGGGCAAGAGATATAGGAAATAAAGTTTATTTTCCCTAGTAGCGCAAATTAGAGACAGTAAGTAATTCACCTGATTTTCTCTTCTATTAGCATTATGTTGCCTCAATTTAAAGATGGCAATATGAAGGGATGAACTCACAATGCATTTCTATGCCTTTACTTCATCCAGTATTTTCGTAGATGTGTTAATCTGTTGATTTCAAGTGAATTAACATCTATCCAAAGATCAGAGAAATGAATGTGGAGAACATGAACTCCTAATGGCAGCAATTCATTTTAGCCAGCACAAGATAGCTTGTAAGTTCAGTTCATATGCTAATTCCTCACCAGGTCTCAGAGTGGGGCCAATCTGATGGAGTGGCTCACAGTAAAGACCACCATTGTAAAGAGTGTATTGACAAAAAGTAAATTCAATTGAACAAACTGCAGTTTTATTCCGCCATCCTACCAAAGCAATCATCATTCCCTCTTGTGTACCGCTTGACATATAGCATCAAATAGGTTCGCTTTATGATTCTCTTGAGTTAATAAAGAAAGTCTATCTTCCCAATGCATGTTCTCAAATGGAATCAGAAATAACACATAGAAAATAAAAGGTTGCAGGACCACTGAGGCTGCCCTAAATTCATGATACTGATATCATGAAAACTAGATATTAATATCCATCTATATCCCAAAAGAGAACTTACCCCCACCCACTCACCCCATCTCATCCGCGCACATCCAGCAAAGCTGTAACATTTGCTGGAAAAGGCAACAGAAGTAACTCTCAGAGATCACATAATGCATTATTTATACAGCTAGCTAGCTGCTGTATTACATGATCTCTGTCCCTAGCTAAAGGTTAAACCAGCAGTGATCACACACTTGTTTTTTCCATTCCCTTGACATGCTCACTGTAATGGTAGCTGGTTAATATTTAATAATAAGGGGAGGAAAACCTGCACTTCATGTCTTTAATCATACAAATCACAATAAACAAGTTTCTTGGACAAACAGGCTATATGCATCATTCTCATTTCACCCATTGTAGCAATATTTGAGTTAACTGGTATTTCATGTGAAGTAGACGTTACTAACAGAATGTATTTATGTTTTCAGTTTTAGGAAATTTAGTGAGAAATTCTATTTTTCTACCGATTGCATTTTATGTGGTTAGCCAATAACCTCTGTAATGTGAATGGGCAGGAATTTACAGTGGTTCATAATTGCATTATTTTTAACTTGAACTTCAATGGGTAATTATTTTTGGGCTTTGCTTGGTGTCGCTTTTGGCATCAGCGATTTTCGCAATTCTGCAGATTAATGAAGTGTCGCTGTCAAGCTGAGAACCAGAAGGGTCAGTATCATCACAGGGTTCCAGGAGATTGCACCTGATAAGAAAACAGAATCAAAGCAATAAGATAGAATGAAAAGTCAAACATTGTCTAAGTAATATCATTTTAATACATTAATCGATTTCTATTTTGCTGCAAATGGGGTCACTGACTACGTCAACGCCTCCTGACGTCATCACAATCTGTTTCCATTCAACTAACTGGGCTTTTAATGGAAAAATAGACAAGGGAAAATAAATGGGTTTATAAAAGCAGCATCATTTTGAAGGACAGTTTAATCTCATCGACATGCGTTGCTATGAGAGAGACTAATTTATGTTTGCTGTTTGGAGAATTTGTAGCGTAACCACTTGTCAGAAGTACATTCACTGCTAGATTTGGAGATGGATAATGAGATTTATGCAATGAAAGTAGTCTGTAACTGCACTGACACTGTCAACTTAATAGAACACCGCACAGAAAGTTAAAGAATCAAAACAGTAGCTAAACAGGACTATGTCACAAAATTTACCAAGCTCCAGACATACTGCTTAGTTATGCCCTGTTGCCCCCTTTGATGCCAGGGTGGTGATGACCATTGGTAGCCATTCCCATCTCATTGTGTGCCCCTTGCCTTCCCATGCTGTTCCATCTGCCACATCTTAATACTGAGTTGCTGCCATTCACCGTTATTATCCTCTCTATTTTTAGCAGCTGCCTCCAGTTCCCACAATTGACTTCCCCTGCACAGCAGTGACAGCCCTGATTTGAGTTTCAGTGAACAGACCCCCTGACTGTGTACCATCCCCTGTTCAACATGGTGAGACAGCCTTGACTGACAAGTATGCAGACCCCAGATTGATCCCTGCGCACCTCTTCTTCTGACTTACTGAAATCTTTGGACTGCTCGAGCTGGACCTCCTGGGCTGACTATTGCCTACTCCCTGGGCTGCAATGAAACAAAATCCCTGACCCTGAATGCCTCAAGTAGCTGACTAAATCCAAGCCCCTGGATTTGGATGATTCTGTTGACTGACTGTGCCAGTAACTTCTGAAAACTTTCTTCCCTTGACTTGACTGAGAAATACTCTCCTTGGAGTTTGTGACATGGCTATTTAGTTGAAGCGTGCTCATGACATGCTGGAAGCTGAGACACTAATGAGGCATGATGCCACTCAACAATACGTCTACCACTGACTGATTATTACTGCCAAATATCACAAGCTGCCTTGCTTTCTGCCTGTGCAAAAAGGCAAGGTAAGGCAGAAGTGCTATGAGCCTTTAGCTTCTGAGTGAGACAGTGATGTGAAAAAGGCAAACTAAGGCAGCATTGCCATGATCACTTAAGTGGACACAAAATGAGTGTGAACTAAGAAAGCAAGCCAAGAGGCCTGAGATGTATCCAGTTCTGATTCATGAAACAGGAATGTATCCCTGCAGCATTGCAATGAAAGGCTTCAGTATGTTTGAAAATACATTGAATCTGTGAACCTTCTTATATGTGAGTCGAAAATGCGCCATGATGACGTGATGAGGCTGGTGACTGATGCCAACCTCCAGGGATGAAAGATGTAGGCAGGTGTTGCCCATGGAACATGGTGAAGTGAATTATGCTTGCCAAGGTGGATACCCATAGAAGACACTGTTGATTTACAGCTGCCAGGTATCTACTCAGACTTACATGTTGGGAATTATCACCATCTAGTTTCTCCCTACTGCTGAAAAAATTAGCAAGCCACATATATGTTACAAAATGATAAGATATTAATAATGCAGATAGACCTTTTGCTGCTCACTAATGAAGTTTTCACCCAGCCGTTGAAACCAAATGTGTAAAATTGGGTATTTTTTTCCCAATGTTAAGATTCCTATTTTTTTGTTCTCACTAAATTATTCTAATCGACTTGCCATTGCCTACACCATTTAGGACTTCACATAGATCCACTCTCTATCTTTAAGGAATTAACTTTATAATTGTGGAATATCAAATTTTTATTCCATTATAAAATCATCATGAATGGGTTTCCGAAAAGAGTCATACTGCACTAAAACAGACCCTTTGGTCTAACCAGTCCATGCCGAACATAACTCCAAACTAAACTACTCCCACCTGCCTGCTCCTGGTCCATATCCGTCCAGGCCTTTCCTATTCATGTACTTATCCAAGTGTCTTTTAAACATTGTAATTGTGTCCATATCCACCACTCCCTCACAAAGTTCATTCCACATGCGAACCACCCTCTCTGTGTTTGTCCCTCATGTCTTTTTAAAATCTCTGCTTTCACTTTAAAAATATGCCCCTTAGCCTTGAAATCCCCCAACCTAGGGAAAAGACACCTACCATTAACCCTATCTATACTCCTCATGATTTTATACACTTCTATGAAGTCACCTCTTAGCTTCTTACCCTCCATATCCAGCCTTTCAACACAATAAGAGAAGAAAATATTTGTGATATTTCATCTTCATAACTTAATCCTGCTTGTATTTTTATTTAATTATCTGTAAAATGATTAAAAATTGAAGGATAATCATTGCATTTTCAGACCATCAGAGCAAACATGCTCTCATTGAAAGGTGGAGCAGACTCAATGGGCCTGATGGCCTGCTTCTGCTCTGATATCTTACCGTCTTATTTTGTCTCCTGATTTGGCATCCTTGAAGATTCTTCAACAGGATTGGTTGCTTATTCTGATTGATGGCATGACCCCTGCTGAATATTGTAAAACCCCAGTGATAGGCACCAGAGGAACATTAACCTTCAGAAAGTTAAAATCTACACTTGCTTTGTAAAGTGAGACAACTAATTAAGGTTGATGTTTAAATGCATAGAATAGACAAATGTAGCTCTGATCATCTTTCCTAAGCATGATAAGAAATGTAGCCAGTAGTGTAGGCATAATGGGTTATGTAGCCAATTGTACAGGAATCTGGCTAAGAATGTACATTAGCAAAACTGAATAACAATTACATTTTGAATCAACAGTCTCAGGGAGATAAGGAAATAAATAAGAGACAACATTAGACACATGGTAATCATCAGTGTCTGACAGCTGACGAGAATATGAATCATGACATCTGCAGAACGTATGTTGATACACATATATGATGCAAGTATGAAGATAGACAATGATAAGTCAACTGTCAAAACATAGAAATTAAATAAGAGAATTAAGACGAGAAATTACGATGCTGATTGTGTTTTGGAGAGATACCTCGGTTCACTTTAATAATGTTTGTCTCCTAACGTATGTATGTTGGAAAGACAAATCTACAAGTGTTGAATCTAAAGTCAAAATGGTGGTTGAATTCCCACTACAATTAGTTTAACTCGTCTCATATCGAGGTGGGTATGTTTAGATCAGATGTGAGGGGTTAAATGGCCCAACACTGTTTCTATTTTCCCTGTTCTGATAAAATATCAGCTCTTATCATTCAACACAATAACATCTCACAAATATTGTTATGAGATTGGTTTATGAAGACATTGTTTACCTGCATTATCAATGGCTCGCTCAAATCCTGCATTTTCTTTTAAGGCTTGAAGCTTCTCCTGTGACAAGGCTGCTTTCTGTGCGTCAGTAACTGCGCCATAGTTCTGTGGCCCCAGATTTCTCAATTGCTCAACAGTCATAGCCTAATGTAATAAGAAAGAAAGTTTTGCTAGCTAATTAAGAACAGATTGCATGTGGAATCCACTTATCTACTCATGTGGATGATGGAATCAAAAAACTTCATGGAAGTGTCTTGTTTTCCAAAAGGAATTCCAGTGAAGGATTAAAAGATGTAAGATTTAAGTGCCATTAAATTCTTAAGTGTATTTTACATCCTATTAGGAAATGCTCAGTCACTGTCAACTCAGGAGAAGCCTATGGAGACTTAGTGACAAAAGACAATAAGTTGCAGTGGGTGCAGTGGAGCTATTTTCCCGAGTCCTTCCCCTAATCGTAATACATTGACCGAGGTTCAATGCATTGAAAAAATGATTGATTGTTTGTTAAGGCACCTCAACATAGACTTCACTACAATTTTTCCTTTTATTTGTGGTTTCAAAAAAATCCTTGATTGTTCATCAAGGCATAGGAATTGAGGCTTTTACCTATATCATGGGAGACACCAAACATTGTACAATGAAAGAATCAATGGGGTTATAGAAATTACAGTTGGTCCTATCTATTTATAAATAAGATAACGGGGTGACAATTCAGTTTGGAAGTGAAGCATAATAGCTGGTCAAGAATCAGTAGGTTCACTAAATACCTCACCTTTCTTTGTTTTCAATTATTCCATTCTGTGAGATAAATAGGACTCCATTTGCTGCTTCAGTGCAGAGATGGTTGGCATTTGCACTCTGCAGGGTCTGACCATCCACGACCAATGAAACTGGAGAGGATACTGAAGCTCCATGTTCTGCAAGTGTGACTGTTGACCCCACAGATTGAAATCGTATGGATCCGATCTCAATGCCTCAGTTTTGAGGGCCGCACTCCATTTGGTGCTCCACAGCTCACCTGCCAAATTGAAAATTACGTGGGCAGAAATGCCAGAATGGCTGTCTGCCAATCTGTTTCACAGCCAAGTCAAAATAGACTCCAAGATGTTTAAGAGGGCATTAAAAATCGGTAATGTTTCCCAGCTGTGTTAGAACAAGATCCCTGGCACATTTTTCTCATTTGATTATTTCAAACAATCCAGCTTTCAAATGCAATTCATTAATGAGTTCTTATAGCACTTGCCGAGAAAACATTTGGGGGGATCTTGGAAACAGCTCCTGGTGTCAAGAATGAAACTGCAGATGTCATCAGTTTGGGCACTTCTTCTTTACTAAGGCCAGCTGTAAGATAAAGGTGTAAGATTACTCACAATTAGATTGAACAAGCTGTTAAAAGATCCAAAACTTCCAAAGATTGCTGTAAATGCAGCAGTTTTCTTTGTATTCTACTGGACACACAATGGCTATTCTTCAATCAGAATGGGAGGAAAGCTTTCTCTCCTTAAATTATTCTCGAACAAAATTGTTGTGGGAAACGTAATCATTCCTGCCAGTTTCAGCTTCTTCCCAACCAACCCTGGTGGATGTGCATTTTTTAAAAAAAACTTTTATCCTCAATTTGCATGAATTTGAAGGATGAATTATTCTTTTGTTTACTGTACTTCAGAGCAAAAGAACAGAGGATAAGGAATGCACTGTCAGAGGTACAGGGCAACATAGACACAGTTAACATTCAAAATGAAATTAAATTGAAAAAGTTTAGGGATACGAAAAATGTGATAAGTTTTTTTTCTTTTAGTGTAAACAATGGCAGGAAATAGTTGGATTGAATGGCCCATTCCATATTAAAATATCAAAGCATTTCTTACCTGCTACGACCCCTATCTCTTGCAATTGTGTGCCAGTCCAGGTATCCACACTGGAAAATGCTTCCACTGCTTTATTCTTCAAAGCAGTTAGAGTCTCAATATTAGGACACATCGTTTCCCCAATCTCCTTGGCAGCAGTGCTATAGAATATAAAGCAGAGCAATTTGTGAGCATTGAACGTTGCCTTCACTTGGCAATGCTTAGTGATACAGATGCTTCAATTCAAATTCAGAATCACGAAGTGTAATAAAAATCTAATCCAGGTAAGTTTGTAAAAATTTTAGAAAACTGACACGCAATGTACATTGTTGTGTAAGTGTGATCAACAAATGTTAACAATTACAGTTAATTTGTCATGAATTACCATCAACATTCTCCATTTATTTAACTCAACGCAAGCTATTTAATGCAATGCACAGTCCATTGTGTAAATACAGCATACAGACCGGTAAGGTTCCAACTTTACTCCCACTCAATTTAAGCTTTTTGGTCTTAGCCAGAATGAAGCTGAACATGTTTTCTGGGAGCCATATGCCCCTGTGGTGGCAAAGTAAGAAAGAAAATCAGTCTAATTCTCATTCAGTAATCTCTACTGAAAGTGTTCATGTGTGGACATTTCCAATATGCTCAACTGCGAGGTCTTTCACAACTTGTCACTCCATAGATGCTACGAGACCTGCTAAGTTTCTCCAGCAATTTCTGTTTTTGCTTGATTAATTGCTAATGTTCACAGTCTAACCTCATAATGTGCCATAGCTACTTTGATGAATTATTGGAAAGGGAAGTGCAACAAGATACTATTGAGTGTTGGCTGGGAAGAGGGAAGAAAAACGAAAAAAAATTGCTAAAAGAAAATCCTAACTTTCTCTCCCCTGGCCTCTGCAGATGAGACAGATGCACTTCACATTACAATCAGCAATCTGAAAAAAAATTCATGGAGTGATCGAATACCCAATTCCATACATTTCACAAGAACCTTCAACCACTGTTTTCTCTAAGTACGTTCTCTGACACCATGTCAACTGCTGCATTGGAAGTATACATTACGTATAGTTTTGTGGGCAATATTCTCTACTTCAAATCTTACTCTTAATCATAAGGATGAAATGACCAAAGACAAGAAAAATGAGTCTTGAGTGTTACCTGTAGGCTGTCGCATTAATGTTCTTGATTTCGTCTGAGCTACGGGTACAAAGGAAATAACCCATACCAACAAGATCTGTGCTACTAAGTTGACTGTCTGATCGCTGACCCAAGAAGTTCTTCATGATAGTCTTGGCTTGTTTGGAATACTTTAAAGGAAAGAAAATCACTGTAAATCATCAAACTTGGTGTGCAAGAATTTAATACAGCTGCAAGTTCATCATAGCAAATTTATATGATTATCTTTTAAGAATTCATTGTCAAAGAATAAAAAACTTGAACAGAATAATCAGTATTATGAAAAGTCTATTTGTACTTTCTTTAAAAACTCATTCATGTGAAGTGGGCATTGCTGGCTCAGTTTTGTCCATCCCTAATTGCACAAAGGGAATTTAACCACATTACTGTGGTTCTGAAAGCATATGTTAAAGGATATTAGTGAACCAAATGGATCCTTATGACAATCGCAATGAAGATAGTTTTATTTCAGCTTTTTACTTGAATTCAAATTTCAACATTTGCCACTGTGGAATTTGAACTCATATCCCCAGTCCATTCTATTGTGCTGGATTACTAGTCCAGTGAAAGCACTACAACACCACTGCTCCCCTCACCTGAAAAGGTATGACAAGAAATTACCATTTGTTACATCTTTTGCTCCTCAACATCATGGATCAGGATTTTTTTTTTCCCATTTGTCTGACCATTGGTGGTCAATATTTCTCATCACTAAATCTAGAATCTCTGAAGTTCTCCGAAACTAATTACACCGAGTTACTTAAACTCCATAGGGTATTGTAAACTCTTGTCTGGCTAACTTCTGTAGAACTCAGCAATTTCTTCATTACTTCCATTCATTTTTTTGAGGGAAAACCAGGCAGGTAGGTTAAATAAAAACAAAATAAAACTATTTGCTGTGACTAGGTTAATGACTTTCATATTTTTCCTAAAGGTAATAGTCTGAAAGTTGCAAAGCAATTCAGGGCCAATCAAAACAGTTCCAACAATGATCTTTGTGTGAAACAAAACAGTTAAAAATAACCTAAATGATTTTTTGAATGACATTAGTGGTAAATCAAATCTCATTCTCACCTCAGTGCTGGCCCATTCCTGGTAGTCTGAGATTGCACCAATAGTATCAATATCAGGTGCAGTGAAATATTGCGTTACTTCACTCTCATCAAAGCCGAGTGTGATCTTCTTTAGAGAGGCAAGCTGGTCATTTGAGATATTCATACCAAAAGCCTGAAGAGACAAGAACTTAATAGATGAAACTGCAGTTGCATATTATATCGTTGTAATTGTAAAATGTCCCATGATAACACAAGGTTATCTTTGATACTGTAACCATGATGGTCACAGTAAGAAGACGAGTTTAGTTTAGTGCTCTGATAAAACTAAATTCTGCTTTTACCAGACTTTCAGGGAGAGTTTCACTGAGCCACAAAAGTTTTCCAGATTAATATTGCTTCATTAGCAAACTTCTCATTTAGATTTGAAGTGTGAAACTGGAGTGAATCTGTACTTCATATAAGGATGCCAGATTTTGTTGTCAAATGCTGAAGCAAATGGTATGTGTTGTTATCTATTCATAATAAATGGATAGAACAATTTCAGGCCAGAAGCAGCTGTCTGGTGAAGTTTGAAAATCCAATATACTGCTCTACCGTTGTTTGCAGAAATAATTTAATGATTACTGTTGTGGGCCTATTCATTGGCTGTAAAACTAGTGGCAGTCCTGCTGAGACCATGTTTGGAAGCCCAGAGAGTACTAAAGCTGAAACAAACAGCTTGTTGGCTATCATTAACATCCCAGGCTCCTGCAGCAGGAGTTTCCATAGTAATTTCCCTTGCAGGACGAATGTCCCACCAATCAAAGGTCAGTAGTGCCACCAGGAGAAGTGGCCACCTCCATTGCTGCAGCAGAGCTCAAGAGAAGTAATGTTGCTGAAAACCTCAGAAACCAGGTTAAGGAAAATAATTCTGGGGATCTGGTGAGGGAGGTCCTGATAAGCAGAAGAAGGTTTTCGATGTAAATAATTGAGAGGATCTCCCTTTGAGCCCCTCCCAGATACCAGTGGATCCCTCCATTTTACGGAGGCTGTCCAAGAAGGGACTGCCCCACTCTCTCTTCCCCCCTAAAGAAACAGACCTCATGTAGGCCTTCCAGGATTTGTCTAGAATATTATGTGTTGACTACCACTGGTTGAATATCAGGACTTTAGGTGGCTTTTTAAGGGTCTCTGCTTACCCCTGGGTGGAAAAGCCATTCTCCCTCATCTGGGGATGTGAGGGATGCAAAGTTGGGATGGGGCAGGCTTTCTACTCTTTGCCTGCAAGCCTACTGAAGGAATGGAGCAATGAATTCAGCCCTCACTATGTGCTGAAAATTATAATGTTTTGAATAACATGAATTTCTTGCATTTAAGCATTAATACAAGACTTATAAGGCAGTTAAGTCAAGTAATGTTATCTGGAGGTATTGTTTTAAAACCATGATAACTGTTAATTGCTACCAATCTGTCAATCTCACATATTACAAAAATGAACAATTACAAGTGCAGACTCTCATGCATTCAGGTATTAAATGTTGTAGCTTATAAAAAAATTCAACAAATAATTTTAATTTCATCTTTCCAAGCATTCTATTTCTTTTTCTCATTTAACTCTCTTTCTTTATCCTTAATGGGAGAAGTTAAATTCTGTCATTTGAACAAAAGTGTCAAGATTTAGTTGTGCGAGAAGTCCATAGAGGAATTTCAAGATGAATCCTTTCTCCCATCTCTGAGGCTCCTGAAGCCTTGTTTCTTTCGACTTGGACTCCCTACAGTGTGGAAACAGGCCCACACCGACCCTCAGAGCATCTCACCCAGACCCATCCTCCTATAACCCACCTAATTTACACTTCCCTGAACACTATGGATTAGCATGGCCAATCCACCTAACCCGCACATCTTTGGACAGTGGGAGGAAACTGGAGCTCCTGGAGGAAACCCACTCAGACACGGGGAGAATGTGCAAACCTCACCACAGACAGTCACCCGCGAGTGAAATTGAACCCGGGTCCCTGGTGCAGTGAGGCAGTAGTGCCATCCACTGAGCCACTGTGCTGCTCCTGTGTGATGCCATCATTAACTCAAAACTTACAGCAATTTACTGAGTGAAGTGCTTTAGTCGAAAGCTGCGGGGCTTTGTCTAATTGATGGCAGACACTGTTTGTTACCTTGCTGCTGCACCAAGTGCAGCTCTGCTGTTGGAAACAATTTTTAGAACTGATCAGTGCATAATCTGTGAAATGGATCTCAGGTGGAAGCAAATTTACAACTCACGTTATACATTGAAGACCATGTTAAAAATCATTGGGAGGAGCATAAGGCTCTCCAAGTTTGTTCCAAGGATAGTGGGATTGTCCCATGAAGAGATGTTAGGCAAACTCAGCCTGTACTCTGAGATAACAAGATGTAGAGCTGGATGAACACA